CAAAAAAAAAAAAAAATATGAACCTGGTTTCGAGATGAACTGCGATTGATGGGAGTTTCGAGTTGCCGGAGAAGAGAGCTTCGAGTTGCCGGAGAAGAGAGTTTCGAGTTGCCGCCGGAGAAGAGAGCTTAAAAATCTGAAAATGGAGAATGGTGCGAGAGGCGGGGAAAGATGGAGTGAAAAATAAAAATTAGAAAGGTGAAAAAACAACTCAATAATGAAAATAAAAAATGGAAAATGGAATGAAAATTAGAAAAGGTGAAAAAGGGCAATCTGGTCAATTTGTAATCCAAAATGGCTAGATTTCATCTTTTTACAAAAGATGGCCATATTTCATTTTGTCTTTTGCTAAAGTGCTATAAAGCACCATTACCACTAAATAAAATCTAACCTTCTCTTAATGTTAGTAAGATCATGTTAGGGTTATAATATTCAGTTATGTCCGGCAATTCATGAGGAAGTTCAAGTCATGCTCGGTTAGGCTATGTTAAACCATGACCGAGTGATGTTTGATTCTATTCAACAACTCCAGATCAAATTTCCTTCCTTTAGTCATTATTTAATCAGTTATGTTCAGTCAAGTGATGGTCGTTGAGGGAAGTGATAGTGTGGTCGAAGAATCGGCTTAAATCCGTAGGATGCGCAAGGTGCGCACGCCACCGGCCACTCGTGTCTCATCAGGCTAAGTTCATGATTTTTGAGTATATTCCTTACATTTGATCATTTTATGTTGAATTATGTTGAAATTGCCAGAAAAAGTTGTCGGACGGCTAGTAAGAATTGGCCGTGGTCACCATGCCCGCACGCAGCGGGTAGTGCGCGCCGGCAGTCAGACTGCGTATGCGGGCGACGTGCGTGTATGCCAGGCAGGTGTCACGCATGTTCCCTGCTCGCAGCCAGTCCTCAGTTAGCAGCGCATAGCGCACGACAGTGTGCAGTAGCGCACGCCAGTGCGCATGTCCGCATGCTAGTCGGCCACAGGCAGTGCCCAACAGCACGCCCGAGTGGCCAGTACCGCGAAAGTCGCACGACAGCGCCCGCGCGGTACCCAGTCACGCACAACCAGCGCCTGTGTGCGTGTTCACGCGTCCAGTTGCCTGTCGCGGTGTGCTGTAACACCCGACAGTGCCCAGTTGCGCGACAGCCGGCTCACATAGCGCTCGACAACGCCAGAACATCAGTCAGTGCGTACGATACGCACACCAGCGCCCCAAGTCATGCCCAGTCGGGCCTAGTTCACGCCAGTCGTGCCCAGGTCCACGCAGCGCCAGTGCCTGCGGCCTCAACAGGCCCGTTTGCAGAGCCAGCGGTCGACCGACCGGCCACAACAGACCGGCAGTTGGGCCAGACCGGTTCAGACCGGTTCATCTTATATTTTAATGATTTAAGTCCCGGTTCATGTTTAGGTCCCATTTTTAGTTAAATTTCGGGTCCGGTCCAGTTCAGTAAATTCATATCAATTCATTTTCGATTTTAATCAGTTCCGGTTATACCGGTTCAGTCCAAATATCATATTTAGTTCTAGTAGAACATCTTAACATATTAAACAGCTATTTTTATCTGTCTGAGCATAGTATTTAGTAATTGTTTATATTATTTTTCAGTTTGATCAGGATACGATTATCAACACTACCTTTTTATTCAGACGGATCAGGTGGGGACTCAGACTGGGTATTACATTGATTATAATTACTCTACCATGTTTGAGGTATGTATTATCAGTATCCGCTCGGAATGGTCGTCGGTCCATTCTGGGTTCTAGTGGCCTTAGTCTGCCCACTAGAGTGTGCACATGGTGTCCGACATTTTTATGCTGGCAGATGTTCAGGTATCAGTCAGATGATGATTATCACGATATCAGTATCAGATCATGCTTATTCAGTACCGATTTCAGTTCAGTTATATATGCGAGGATCATGATATTGTTATTATTTTCACTGTTTACTTTAGTATGAGTTCCTACAGAGCACAGTGGACTTTAGTGCTCACGCCCCACTTTTATTATGTTTTCAGGTCATGGAGTCAGACCAGAGGTGTGAGATGACGGCCGGTTCAGGATTATGCTTATAAAGTTTGAATTATGTGGGCATTATGCTTATAAAGTTTGAATTACGCACAGCGGTGCTGTTACTATCTCCCGTAGGGAGATTTACGTGTTTTGCCACTACAGTTTCCGCTGAGTTTTTACTGTTTGTCAAACTTAGTCCTTTTGATTCGATGACCAGTTATAACACTATTAGCCGTTTTCGTAAAAACTAAAATGACGGATTAAAAAGTAAAGTCATGTATTATGGTAGCACTCTGAATCAGTATTTCGCAACTTAATGTTTTTTATTTTGAAAACTTTGCGAAAAACGCACTCTGATTTTCATGAAATAGCGGGGTGTTACAGAGTAATTGTCACTTGACAGCACATGTGGACGTGTGCCATAGAACATCTCGTGATACGCACACAAGATGTTTGGAAACTGAAATGAAATGTTAAAGTTAATTGGATACAAAATTTCTTGGTTTTAGTTGAATTTATTGGATCAAATGTGTTATTTTCTATAAAATTAATTGAGTAAATAACTCAGTGAAATTTTAAATTTATATTTAAATAATATTTAAAATGAATGATTAGAGATGATATTATGTAAAAATAATAGATGTCATTGGAAGTGATGAGTAGTTGAAAATATATGAGTGGATGAATAATGAACTAAATTTAATCTATTAATATATAAAGAGACAATGAGATTTACTTGAAATAGCAACAAAAAATTAGCAAAAAAGAAAACATTGATTTACCGCCTAAAGTATTTACTATATTGAGTAAGACAAAATTTGAAAAATTCGCCTAAATTAATATAATTGATGTACAAAATTATTTTAATTTAATATTACGGCTATTACCTTTATTAGTTGCATGATTTAAATTTAGTATATAATATATTGAAACAAAAAAAAAATGATTTATATTTAAAATTAAAAAAAGAGTTATTCATAATCTGCGGGTCAATATTAACTTGGACGTAAACGAAATAGCCAATTATTTATAGTTTAACAAATTATTCAATAACTTACGGATCAATATTAACTTGGACATAAACCAAATTGTCAATTATTTATAGTTCAATATATTACTCAACTACTTCATTTTTTTTTATTTGAATAGTTTATACAAAAATAGATTATTTTAAGTAATGAAACAATATAAATGTTATATTTATAGTTATTATTCACACAAGTTGCTATACATATGATAATATTTTACCAAAATAACTGTTTTATGGAATCACATTATAGTCAAATCGAATTTCTAAATAAATATTTGAAATGATACTTATTTTGGAACGAATATATGTGATTTATTATCAGTTATGTGCACCACACTGGTTGTGTACTAATTTTAAATAGACATTTTTATGTAGTTTTGCACAATTTAAACTTTATATAATATTTTCAATAAATTAGAATAGGCAATTGTATTACATATTGATTCCATATTTTTAATTTATAAATATTACTTAATAAGAATTTTTAATTTATAAATATTAGTGAATATCTCTTACCCGTACACTGCACGAGACTCAAATTAATTTTATTGTAAAGATGGTTGATTGATATTATTTAATTACATTAAGCAAAGCTAAGTTAGATTTTGAGTTAAAAGTGTAAAATAATTATCCAGCCAGTCAAAATCAAATAATTTGTGTAGACAATTGCCTCATATTGATGCCAGCCAAAATCAAATAATTTGTGTAGACAATTGCCTCATATTGTGTAGAAATACCGGATTTTTTGCATAACTATCCCTATCCTAAGGGTTGTTTATCACTTAAATAAAGTAATTAAGCACAAAAAATGACTTAAGGGGTATATTCATTTAGGATTTCGAATGACATTTAGAGACCTTTTTGAGATTTAAAATTTTTTAACATTTTCGGATTTTGGAGGGATCCTGTCAAATCTTAAGTCACCAGATTTGAAGTGAATTTCATGTATGTTTTTTTCTTTAAAAATTCCAGCAAATCTTAAAAATTATTAACAAATTCTAGTAGTCTCAAATAAGTTAAATACCTCAAGATTTTGTAATAATTTTTTCAATCTCATAAAAATAAAACTTTTAAAAGTCTTTGAAAAGTCTAAATTAAATACACCAGGATTTTTAAGTGTTAAAAGTCTGTAATAATCCCAACTCAATACACCCCTCTTGTGTTTTTTCAAGGAATTACTATTTTTGTTAGCAAACTGGCCACATATGCATGAATGAGATTGGGACGAAAAATAATCAAATTTAAACTTCATTTCAACAGACTTCATTTCCCAACCCAATAAACAGCCATCCCCAATAAACAGCCAACCATAAATTTTATTTCAGGTCCCGTAAATTCTCCAACAGCCGAAACAATAACTATATGGAGCAAGAGTGGGAGCAACATACTGAAATGATGCTCAACAACATCCTGAAATGATGCTCAACGAAAAGCACAGAACGTTGACATGGATCAAGAAGCAATAGGTTCAGTAGCTTTCTTCAGCCACTCCATCTCTGAGGTATTCAAATATGGGGCCAGGACTTCCCTGCATTTGGAGTGGTAATTGTTCAACCATTCGATTTCTTCAGACACGAGCTGGCTAACATCCACCAACTTCTTTTGATATGGCGCCTGAACATTCAAAGTAATCATATTTATTAGCTCAGGTAATTAGTGGTCTCTCTCTCTCTCTCTCTCTCTCTCTCTCTCTCTCTCTCTCTCTCTCTCTCTCTCTCTCTCTCTCTCTCTCTCTCTCTCTCTCTCCTCGTCATGAACACTATCTCCGGTATAGTTGCAACCTACGGCTTTTTTATTTTCAAATAATAATCAACGCACTATCAAAAGTACAGAGTTCTATATAAAGCAAAAAAAATTGGATATCTAACTTCTAAGAATGGGAAGCTTGGGCCATATTACCAAGTTTATTTATTTTCCATACATGCAAGATGATGATAGATGCATTACCACAAAAAAGATAATTTCATGTTTCATCTTTACACCACTGTACGGAACTATCCGGGAAAGTATCTACCGGGCCATTAATAGAATGATGCAAGTTCATCACTCATGGATACCATACGATGCCTCAAATATATAACTAGAGTGCATAAAAACATTCTTCAAAACAAAAAAAGTTGAAAAGTTTACCCATGTTATATGCTCGAAACACAGGTAGCCCTTGCCGCCAAAATTGAATTTTGTATCAGCTTCTTTTACAACAAGCACATTCTCCAATCTTATGCCAAAGTTCCCATCTTCATAATAACCGGGTTCTGGAAAATGAATTTCATAGTTACATATATGAGTACGAAGCAAGTGTAAAAATCCTATATACAGGATTTGCTGGTTTAATATGCCGAATATGATGGCATAATCTCTGGGTGTGCTTTAATCTTCCAGGTACTAAATTTCTGGTTTTTTCTTTCTTTTCTTTCTTTTTTTTTTTTCTTTTTCATTTTTTTCCTTTAAGTCTTCCACATAGCTGAAGAATAATGAAATAAATTAAAATCTAATTGTCAGAGAGAGGTGTCTACATATATCATCAAATCATGATAGCCATTATAAGTTGAAATGAAGCACCACAAAAAAAACGAGCATGATTTTGAGATTGTAGTCCCGACCATTTACCAACATGCCAGAGACTAAAGCTTTTACAGGCTAAATACATGCAGACAACAAATGGTAATTTGAGGTTCATAATGGGGTCAATATTACCATCTGTAACAGTCATTGAGGGTTGTAGTGGCACATTCCGAGCAGCTGGCCTGAAACTGATTTGATGAGGACCTGCCATGAAAGAATAAATCAAGTACAATTAGACTACTATAATTCATTCTTAATAAATTTTGAATCACATGCAAAAGGACAAGGACAAAAGCTATTGATTGATAATCTTATTGAACTGATGAAGTAATCCCTCCCTATATATTAATTCAAAGCATGTTGAGCCTAAGTGGAAGATTCTCACGCTTCGGATGCTGAAAATCTATGCTTTGTAATGTTGTTTATATATTCATTTTTGCTCTGGTGTTAGGCTTGGTATTAGACGTAAATAACATTTTTCAAACTTGGTATGTGTATATTTAATTTTGTTATCTTTTTCTCTTAGTACACATTTCCTTATTAGTTTGGGCAAGTAGCAATCTTACCATATTATAATTTTCTCTCATATTTCTCTCCAAATTACGATTTACAAATCACTTTCTACATTGTCTATTCCTCTTTTTTTTCATCAATTAGTCCATCAAAATTTTTAAATAAAAAATTTATTTTAGCAATCACTTTAATCATATATCTCTTAACTCAACACACTTATAGTACACGAGTATTGTACTAGTTGATATTAATTCCAAGTAAAAATATGGCCTTTCTTAAAATATTGTTAGCAAAATGTATATCATACAGTTAATACCTTCATGAACATTCAGGAAAGACCCTATTCCATGGCCAGTCCCATGCCTGTAATCAAGACCATTTTTCCACAAAGGAAGCCGTGCAAGAACATCTAGGATATGACCTGGAACCATGGAATCACAGCGCAAGGATTTTTTAGATATTTTCAACAAAACCAAAAGAATCTCGGCTACGATTTCTTCACATAAAATCTCATGGGAACCCAAAGGAATTCAGTTAAGAGATTAGTGTAGATATGAAAATCCTAACCAGTGGTTCCAGTGGGAAATCGTGCATTACCCAAGCCAATGTGACCTTTCAGAACCTAAGAATTACATACAGATGGAAACAAGATCAATAGAAACATGCAAAAAAAAAAAGAAAAAAAAAAGAAAAAATTGAGAGTAACTCAAGCATGAGTGAGAAAAGGTTTGCTACTTTTTGCCAGAAAATGAAGTCAATATACCCATGATGCAAAAATTTTAAACACAAGTAAGAAGATACATGACAATGATCTATGCCACTCTGAAAATACAAAAGCTTGGGCTACAAGGGTTTTCCAATTCAATCCAATTGCGTAATAGGTCCTGTCTTCTCTCCGTTTTCCCACGAAAAGTTCTCTATACAGACAAAATAAGATTTTCAAAACACTGTAATAGTATGTATTTGCTGTTTCATTGCTCAAGTACGGACCTATGCTTGTAACATTTCCTCTTTCTTGAATTGAATAGTTAACGTGCATGGCTTAGAAAGAGAAAGACATCAAACACTCCATTAATGTTTAGAATAAAAGAAAATCATTCAATTCATAAACAGGTATAGAACTGAACAAAGCAACAACACGACATACCGCAGTATAACATGCTTTCTCATGTGACGTGGGTTTTCCAAAATGAACAGTCCGTGTAATGTCGGTTGTTCCATCAAGATACTATAGACAAACCAAATGAGATTAATCCAAAGAAAATAAAAATGAAAAAACACCTATAACAATAGGTTGAGAAAAAATGAGAGCTGAGAGGGATAGGTGACATACCTGAGCTCCTGAATCAAATAAATAGATACTATTTGGGTCAAGTTCAGCACATGTTTCTGCCTCAGGACCATAATGTATGATTGCCCCATTTGGACCTACTGACGAGATGGTCGGAAAACTCAACCCCCTAAAATGCTGTTATCAAAACATGGACGAAGCCAATAAAAGAAGTTATGAGCATACACCAAAAGAAGTGAGGAAGAAACACCTTTTAGAACCTTTCTGAGGATATGTAAATACCTCTTTAGACGCACGGAAACTCTCTAGCTTATCACTTACCGACACTTCTGTAAGTTTTGTGGTTATCCTGTATTTTAAAAAAGAGAACTAGGAGTAAGATATGGGGGTTGGTAATTCAAATCCAGTCATTAGGTAGAAATCAATCTGGTTGATAAGAACTCAAATTAGTTCTTCAATTAATGGTATCTTAAATAGAGGCAATTTACTATTTCAAACTTCAATGGGCAGCATGAAACTTAATGACTAATCACTGATGCTTGATACGAACTATACAGCCGACTAAAACTTTAAAACATCAGAACACCTAATAAACAAAACTTACAAATTTATTTATCTCAATCTTCTTTGCTGGAAGGTGTACACTTAAATAAAATCACGAACATTTCTAACTACAACAAGCGACTTCATGGTGAGTTATCTTCAAGAATTAATTGCATTTTCAAATAGAAAGAGAAGATTAGAATCGTGAAACCAGCAGCAATATAAACTAACAATCTTCACAGTGTTTTTGACCTCGTGCAAGCTCGGCATAGATTAATCGAGGTCATAGAAGATTCAGAAGGGAAAAAATATTGGGCACAAATTCCAAGTATATCCGCGACAAGAGGAAAAAATACTACAGTAAACCTTAAAGCTAACTTGCAGAAGTTTACTAAAATGAGAGAATGAGATAAAAAAGATTGCCCAGATCTATTGCTTGCAAAAACTTACAGGTTATCTTTGTTTTGGACCTCGCTTTCCAAGAAATAACCAGAAGCCCCATAAATATCCTGCATCTAAGGGTATACAAAGGTAAATCAATTCTTTAAGTTGCAGCACAACACCAGAAAAAGAAAACAACAATATTTGATAGTGCCCCTTCATCAGAGTATGAGGTCCTGACACGCAATTTCATGGAAGAATTAGCAATCCTCTATCTATCCTTGTTTCTTATCCAATACAGACTCATGTAGGTAAGAGGATATAGCTAACGAGTACTAGTACTTATGGGAATGAGTTTCAGTAATAAGAAATGCAGTTGCTAATTGTGTACCTGCTTGTCCAGCCAAACAAGATATTGCACAACAGCAGCCCCATCCCGAATGTGTGCATTCTTCAGTCCTTGAATCTCAACGGGATTCTGGAAGTATGATCCAACAAATATAGGTAAAACAATAAATAATAAACTACTGCATTTTTTGCTCGTGTTACATTTGAAAACCTAAGAAAAATCATGGATTTTTTTTTTAATTTGTTTTTAAATGCATGGAACGGGATAATTTCTCTGAAATGAACTTTGGTGTAAACTAAGCGAACCGACTAAGTAAGAAAAGTGCACTGTCCAAAACATAGATATTATGGCCAAAAGCCTAAATCAATTCGTGCTCGCTCCTAGACAATTGTGGCGAGTAAGAAAGAGGAAGGTGAGGGGGTGGGGATAAAGACAACTGGAACTATATAAACATATACAAATTTGAAAATGACCTAAACCACCATTTGAGTTCATAAACGCAGACAAACTTTCCACCACCAACCATTTCCGCATTTTCATCTTTGAAAACCTCAGTTACCATTCTTATTACTCCAAATTATTTCTTACTACTACATTTCCATACACCATGTCTTCCAATAACTAGAATAAAAACATGTGTATCAAACAATTACCAATTACCCGTAAGATAAACATGTGCATCACACAATTTTAAGTATAGAAAAAAGGTCAGTGTCTGCCCAGTGGAGTGCCTTAGTTTTTGCTGTTCTTTCTGATCTGGTCTGGGATCACACATCAGTTGCCACAAAAGCTATACACACTGACACACCCTAGATGATACTGACATCATCACACACTGCACACCTAAAGTTATGTATCTAACCCCGCCTGACTACAAAGTAAAAGGCAACCAGAAAAGACATAATACCTTTAGGGCTTTTGCGAGAGCCAACGGCGACGATTGAAGAAAAACTTTATCCGGATTCAGTATTGTGTACAAAGCAAAACAGCATGATCCGGGATCAACCCATACAAGGTCATTTTTCTTATCTTCTGCAGAGTCATCATTCCCTGTTGTAGTGTTCAATGGAATATCAACCCCAGCTTCTTTAGCTAAACTGGTCGAGATAAGCTTGTCAGATGCAAGCAAGGCTGCATCTGAGCTCACATCACCATAATCCCTCACTTCTATACCATTTTTCTCCATATAAGAGCTCACCTGCACCACTATGGGCTTTAAACAATGAACCCATGGATACAACAAAGTCTTATTATACAATGTGCACAAACTAACCTCAGAAGACACCTTTCTCTTGTCCACGTACAAGAAAGCTGCAACTGATGTTACGATAGCAAATGCATGAACGACAGGGCTATATGAAACATCATCCCCACGGATATTATAAAGCCACGCAACCTGAAACGTAATGATCTAAATTAGTATCAAAAACTACTTTCAGTTAAAGCTGAACGCCAATATGATGAGGTATCATAGGCTTGCCTCATCTAATGCACTAAGTATAATTGCACGAGCTTTTGCCCGTGTAAGCTCTTCCCTTAAAGCCTTTAACTTATCTTCAACGGAACGACCAGAAAATTCCAATGGATGTAGCACAACAGGATTTGCCTCAGGTGGTGGTCTATTTGACCAGACTTCATCTACTAAGTTTGTAGTTGTTTTAATCAGTTTTTGCTGTTTCTTTGCAAAACCATGCTCCCATTTTTTAGCAGTATCGACAGACACACACCAAGGGTCAATACCAATGGCTGCATCATTTGGCAGATTCTAGTACAACACAAAATACAATTATTGAGACAAATAAGCACAACATTAGAAACCCCAATTATAACAAACGCCGTAAAGATGAGTAGCTAGAAAGATGGTGAGTAAACAGAAAGTTTATTACTAGGAAAGAGAATCAAAGAAACAAAAAGAAATAGAGTATCTAAAGGATTAAATTTCACGATTAATTTCAGCTGAAACTTTTAGATGTTTGGAATCTCTAACGAGAGCTGGAAGTTAAATATCCACTATAAGAGGCAGTAAATAAACATAAAAGTTTTGATATTTAAAGACATACAAATTATGCCTTGAATAGTCTATTAAAAAGTTGATACTTATTTGTTATGGACTTTTGGCATATATGTAGTCATTGATGAGCTTTGGCGAGGATCTAATTTAACTCGCTCGACTACAATGAGCATCAGAGAAGAGCTAAGTCACTCTAGCATGAACTACATATAAAAGATTGATGATCTCCCATTGCTTAATAAGATTATAGAAAAAGGTACTGAGACAGCTCTACCAAGTATTACACAGAATTTTACAAAATCATAAGAGGATATCTCACATCAGCCATCCAGATGTCGACTGCTGGGTCTTCCCCCATACGCATGAGCTTCCACTCGTTGCTAAGCTGTTTTTCGGCCTGCAAAAAGTACCGCCCATCTGTCCATAGTAATGCCTCATTTGCCAGTACAAGAGCCAAGCCTACAATAGGAGTTATTATGGAATGCACTTCCTTGGGAACACGTGGAAGGAAAAAGAGTGAATGCATCTATAAACACAATCATCAAGCCAACTGGTGGTTTAACTTTTACGAATTTATGGTTGAAAAAAAAATAGCAAAAGCACACGACCAACGCAACAAAAATTCCATATGTTCCTTGAAATCCATTATAAATAATAGATCCCAAAAGATATCGGTTGATAATTGACACCAATTCAACACTAAGGCTGAGGAAATTGCTAGGCGAGAATCAAGCAACAGCTCGTTGTTCTTATCTCTTTAACAATGACATCACACCAATATTATCACAACAGTTTGGACTCATTTTTAAGAGACTGCTTGACACAAGATCTGATGCATGTAAATGATGGAAACAAGAACCACTCACTCTGCAGTTATCTGTTTGTACGGAAGGAAAACACACGCACACGCACGCACATTGCAAAATTATTGTTCAGTCAACCATGAGGAGTTGTCCATTAAACATAAAATACTCAAACTAGAAAAAATAATGCGGTAAAGTAAAAATAAACGGTCTCTTGAAATATGCAAAAAAGAACACCATAACTTTCAATTGCATCACAAACAATAATCAGGCCATCCCAATATGAATAGATAGAAAAAGAATTATCGACGCAGACTGGTAAAACGATACGAACCAGCACTTCCGGTGAATCCAGATACAAATTCGCGCCGTTTATCCCTCGCGGAAACGTACTCGCTCTGTCACACCAAATTATTCACCCAATCATACAAGCAATCAAATTTCAAATAGCAACTAAGTAACAGAAATTGAGTCGATCAATCCAAACGTATCGGCTATGGAGATTTTTCATGAGGACAATCCATTTACCGTTTTACACATCGGAAGCACAAATGAACACGACCGATGACTAAATCAACGTATTATACGAGAGAGATAGATAAAGAGACCTGATGATAGTCTTCAGAAGGAACGACCAAAGCATCGAGTGGGGGCGAGTGAGAGGCCATTAGAGACCTGAGAGAAGCTAATATTTGATCCGCCATTATCTCTGAGTTCTCTGTTTCGGCGTCTCTTTCTCCAACCATTGGACTGATGAGACTCTGGTTTAGAGTGGACAATTATAAGGCGAGAGGTAACGCGATTTATCTCGTACGATTTAGAAGATGCGACCTATCCTCAGTCGCCGGAAGGGATAGTTCAAAAGTCGCTTTTTTTAACAAAGTTGCAATTGCACATTCCTTGTCTCTATATAATATCATTTCAGTCAATTCGGTTACTCCCACCCGTTTTACAATCAGGTAAAAACACAAATGGTTTATGTAAATTATGTATAGGGTGTTGTTATTTACTGCACCCAACTTTACTAACTACTGCACCTTAAAATTCTACTTTTGCCTAAATAATAATAAAAAATTCAATTTTTAATTCATTTTTTTAACATTAAAAAAAAAATTATAACACTTTCTTAAAATTAGTAAAAGCTCAAAAAAAAAAAAAAAAGTTACAAAAATTCTAACATAACATATTGGCCAATCAAAAAAGAAAAATCTTAAAAAAAAAAAACACAAAACTCAATCAAATTAGTAAGTCTCTTTGATATATTCCCACTACCTTGAATAGTGTTATTGATGGAAAACCGCGTCTTCCCCAAATCACCAATGCCTAGCTCTTAAAATCGCCGTCGATTGAGCCTCCTTCTTCAGCCTTCTAACGACCCTCCACTGCTCAACCAAGGTCTGGTCAGGGGCTTTCTCCTTTCTCCGATTTCAAGAGGGATGTGACTGGGTTATCTAAGGTCGCGTGGATCTGGGTGTTACTGGACGATGTCTCGGCGTGGTGGAGTTAGGTGGAGTGCAGCGTCAGAGGTTGGTTGTGGCTCGAGCCGCCTGTGTTTTTCTCCGATTTGGGTCGACTCTTCTCGTCGGGCCTTGAGTTTCCTCTGATTTCCCGTTTCTTTTGCTCCGACCGGAATTTCATGCGACTCCGGTCGCCGGCTTCTCGGTGTTGTGGGGGTGATAGGCTGGGGTCAGTTCTTGGAGCTCGACGGAGAATAGGTCGCTCGTCCGAGCGTGCAGGAGCTTTGACGTCATTCATTTCCCTTCCTATCTTTTTCTCGGTTCCGAGTCTGAGGGAGGCCAGCCGTTACCGAAATTGGCTAGTGTTGTTAGTCCACTCTGTGATAGGAGATCGTTTCCAAATATCTAGTCAATACTTTCTAAACCGCATACGAGGTGTTACTCGTGTCAGCAAGGAATGAGGCATTGTCAACGGTATCGAACAGAGCCATGTGCGATGAAGGTACCGGTATTGAAGATAAATTGTTATTGATGATTGTTAGTCCGATTGCATGGGGTTCCGTGGTGGCCTGTTTGATAGGGACGCATGGATCATGTCGAGGTAGTAAATGAGTTTTCAGGCGTGACCTGGGCATGAGACTGAAGCTCGATGTTACGAATCAACCATATATGGTTAGACTATCGGATTATGCTATCGAGACACGAAAAAGCAGGGTCTTGTTATTGATAGACGAGTATATGTGAGAAATTCCTTACCATGGGGAGATACGCTGGCAACGATGGTTATCGAGCGACAACCCTAATGGTACCATGCGAGGTGGCTGGTATGGATATAGGTGGAGCATGTCGTAGTTCTAGCTACAACCACGCTTACTCAGTCCTATTATGATTCTCGACCAAGTCGTTGACTTAGGCTGATGGTTGACTCCACCACCAGAGCTTACTCAGTCCATCAGGGAAAGGCCGAGAGGGGTACTTGTCAAAGTCCAGTGGGGGGATGTCAAAGCGAGGGCAAGACGACTTGGGAGAGAGAGACTAAGATTCGGAGGAGGTACCCGAATTTTATGTGTTGATGTCTTCCATTTTATTCTCAATTGTGTCATGTCGTAGTTGTTTTTCCAAATTCCGAGGACGAAATTTTCTTTAAGGATGGTAGAATGTGAATCCCCGTTTGAATTTTAGATTTTTCCGGATTTAATTAATTATTGGCATTTTATTTTTAATATTTTATATAACCTGATTATGTGATAATATATTATATTATTATTACGTGAATAATATAATTAAGTATGTCTAGTTGGTCTATTTTAATTATCGATCGTCGTTTGAATTTTCGGTTTAATCGCGTAAGCTGAATTGTTGCCTGTTTAAAAACATTTTCAAACCATTGCGACCCGAACATCGAACCAATCGGTCCAGCCCTTATATTGTGGTCTTTTGACCCTTATGGCCAGCCAAACCGGTCCTTTTTGTTCAAAACCGAATTCGGCCCCACGTTTTTTTTTTCAAGTATAGAAATTTTATTTTGTTTGAAATTCAAAATTTCCTAAGCTTGGAAATGGATTTATTTTGATCAAGCAATCCTAGCCTTGATTCATGCCGATCAGCCCCATGTGTGCTTAAAAATCTTGGTAAGATTTCATAGGATTAAGTTTGATCAGTAAATTAGGATTTATTTGTTCAATATTCTTCCCTTTAAAACCGATTCTCTCATCTTTCTCTTACGGGTTATCAAAATTTTTCCTTCTTCTTCTCTTCACTTCACGCTGCAAGAAACCCTTCTCCCTCACAGCAAAAATAATCCATCATCCATCACCACCTTCTCGCTACTCCATCGCCGACGCAACCTTCTTCTACCCGCGTGAGAAGAAACCCGCGAGCAGTCCCCGGCGTCATTCGCGATCAACCCCACAGCCTCTGTTTGAAGCAACCATGACCATTCATCGTGCGCCACCATTCATCGCGAGACGAGCGACGCTGTCGAGCCCAAACACGCGCATCCTTACCCCGTTCGGCCTTCTTTCAAATCCCTTGCGTGTTTTTCCTTAAGAACAGTACATGACGGCTTGAAATCCTTTCTTTTAGTATGTGTTTAAGTGATTTGATGTGATACATGGCCTATTTCCATGTTAGGTATGATGTATATGTTTATGTGGTGTTCTATGTGGTTTGATGTTGAATTCATGTTAAAGCATGTTAATTGTGAAACCCTCCCTTGTTTATGTGTGTAATGATGGTGTAAGAGGTGCTTATGATGTTGTTTTGGTGTTATGGTATGATTTGAATAGCATGTAACATGATTAAAAGCTGTTTTTGAGTTCGTCTCTTCGGTTTGATGTCGAAGCTGAAGGACATGGGTTAATTTTGTGGAATCCCTGGAGTTGTGTGTGCTTTGGTGTGTCCTTGACATGTTAGTGTAAACCTTGGGTCATTTTGATACCTAAGCTATGAGTTATGAATTTTTTTAAGTTGATCGTGCTGCTGCATTTTGCAAAAATCATGATAAATCGAGTTCTGGTCATTTTGATGTGAATTTATGATATGTTGGACCTCGTTTATGAATCTTTTGGTGTAAAAATTTCAAGTTTAAATTCGACTTGTAGCTATGTGTTTTGGTGATTTGAAGTTCTGGTCAGATTCTTGATAAATCGATATGAACGAATTCTAACACATCATTGGCTCTATGACCCTTATCCTTGGAAGGACTCTTGGTCATCTTACTTTTTAGGCATGACTCGTAGGTCAGAAAGGCCTCGACTTTTGACGACCCCAAGGGCCCTTCTGCCACCAACCTTTGTATCATCTTTAGGTTTATATGATCATGTTTTAGATGCCATAGATATCTTTCATTCATTCTTGAAGTTTTCTTCCTCTTATAATGATTCAACTATGAATTATTATGTAATTGTTTGTGTAGCACTACAAGAGAGTTTGGTTCTAAAACATACTGACTGCCAACTAACTTTCATTCCAATCGAACAAATTTATGATAAAAAAAAATAAAAAATAAAGAACCTTTCGTAGACAGCTTAGAAACCGAAATTAAAATCTTCCTAAATTGGGAGCATAAAGACAAACATCCAAAACTAAAGTCCTATCTAATTCAAAACATAGATAAATGCCTCACATTACAACAACCACCACATTGATGGCATTTTCCATGTAGACGATAACCTCCCCTTCCCTAAGCTGTCTGTTTTACTGTAGCCCCTGCAATCAATTGCACACATGATCAGTGACTCTTGTATCTATACACCAGGTACTGGTATATAACACCGCTAAATATGTTTCCACGACTAATGAAAGTGATTTACCTCCAACTTCCTTCTTGAGGAGAGAGAAGTTGGCCTTCCAGAGTCCGCTCTACGTGTACTGGTCGCACTTGCCTTTCGGCTTCTTTGTCGTTATCTATGGACCGGCTGCGCAGCAGCCACAAGGACCTACATTATCGCCTTTTTCGCAGACTTCTTCCTCTTCCTACCCATTGTTGGGCCTGAAAGAAGAAGGCCCTGCCTGCTCAGCACCCAGCACCAGAGCATTCTAACAAAACAGGCCCTCATCTGATTGGAGTTCAGCCAGCAACTTCGAAAGAGACAACGTCATCTTATTCATGGTGTAGTTTAGACGGAACTGGTCAAAAGTCTTTCGGGAGAGACTGGAACACTATATCGATCAGGGTTTTTACATCAATAAAACTCCCAAGAACCTCCAGCTCATTGAGCTTGGCAATGATGGCGAGGATATGATCCCTTACGAGAGTACCCTCACGCATGGGCGTGTTCATCAGCACTCTCATAACCTCCTATTTGGCAACCAATGACTGGTGGGCATGACAATGTATTTGGTTACATTTGACGTATTTGAAATTAATAAATTTTACAACATTAAAATAGTATACACTATAATTATTTTAAATTATTGTTGGTTTATAATATTTACCATAATTTTTCATTTTCACCATCAGTTATTTATGGATTAAAATAATATATTATAATAAGGTATAAGTAAAAGAAAATGTAGAGAGAAGAGTATTTTTGTTAGCATTATTTATTAGTAATTCTTAAATGTGTTAAATTTTCATGTTCTTTAAATCTAAACATGAATTCTAAAACGAAATTATTTTAATTATGTCTACTAATTAATATTCTTTCATCACTTTAATTTTATGATTTACCATTTTTGTCTCCTGCATTACACGGACTATGTAATGATATTTTAAAATCTTAAGTTATTCAATAGGCAAATTATCAAGTATAATAGAAAAATCCGGATTGGTTAATAAGTCATGT